AAAGAGATTGGACATGAAAAGACACAAAATAATGAAATTCATTTATGTGAAGCCACACGCCATTATTGTGGAGAACCATGTTTATTAAAAACCGAAACAGGAAGGTTCATACCAATGTAAAAATAGTTGCATTGTAAGTTTACATAAACTACAAAACTTCCCATATATTAAAATAATTTAATCATTTCCTTTATGTATTTTTATTTATAGATTTCATGTGAAGAGCAACATGAATTGTATAAATGCCAAAATGAAGTACACCCAATAGAATGTCCATTAGAAAATTGTCGACAAAGATCGAATCATTTTCACGCATACTAAAAGGATGTTAATCATTTTTACGGGTAAATATTTTAGTCAATATTATCTCAAGTGGATTCTAATAACAATTTTAATTTTTAGACAAGAACACCAATGTCCCAAAGAATGTGAAGACAAAGGAATTTGCAAAATAGTAACAGAACCTACTGCAGTTGAAGCTAAATATGAAAATGCACATGATAGTTTTATATTTACCAAGGTAAAAATGATTTAACACATTTAATAAAGCAAAGATACTTATTTTAGATACATTTTATTTCTAGTATTCCCAAACTTTCCAAAGACTTCCTTGTTGTATCAAAATTCCTCCATACAAATTTAAGCATGATGGAAAGCATGTCATGAAATAAAGAAACCTCATCATTGTGATTCAAACTGTCCAAATGATAAAGGTCAACATATTAAGGAAGAAGAGAATAAACAAAATTTTCATTTTTATGATATTAGATGTCCAAACTGCTCATATTACGTAAGCAGATACTTAAATTTTTTGTTTATTGATAACTCATTAATTATTGAAATTAATTTTTTATTTTAGTGCACATTACCTCATGGTCATGATGAATTTTCTATTTTTTTTTTTTTTTAACATAATTATCCTAAATATTAATCTGAGACTTATTCTGATTAAAAGTTTTAGCAACCACATATGGGAATATGTTTTTGATTTCATTTGAATGTGAATTTGATTATTATTATTATTATTGTAAAATTAAAAAATTTTGACAGATTATCGATTAAATTCTGGAGATAGAGAAGATTTTGTATTATGCCATAAAGTAACTATTTAATATTCTATTGACTTTAAACAAACAATTTTGTTTTGAATTTTTTCATTGAAAATTAATTTATTTTAAATTTTAGCTTTGTGAAGTTGTAGAACGGCACAGACATTTGATTATTGTAGAGATCCGAAAATATATTCAATATCATAATGTGTTTCAATTTAAAAATTTCAATAATAATTCTTTTATTAACATTCATAAACAATCAAATAAATATAAATAAATAAAGCAAACATAGAGTCAAAACCTTATAATTTAAAGGATTATATATCTCACCAGAGAGAATAAAGTTTCAAGGTATATAAAATATTAGTTTTATTACATTAATTATCCAAATTATCATTAATTTATTTTTTAAAAAAAATTATTGATAGATGATCGTGAAAAATTTAAGAAAATTGATCGTGAATGTCCAGATGAAGAGTATCAAAAATTTGATGAAAATTCAGGAGTACTAAAATTTTATTACACACAAAATATTTTTCACGCAAGATTAGATCCTCCAAATAATAAAGGATACATATCAATTGATGATCATCACTTTACAGTCGATATCCCAGATACTTGTAATTGATAGTATACCTGCCACCCAAATTCAAAATCCAAATGCCAAAATCCCAAATGCCAAAATCCCAAATCCCAAATCCCAAATTATGATTAGTATTTTTTGCCGAAATCCCAAATCCCAAATGATTTGGGATTTGGGCAACACGTATAATTGATAGAAGTGTTTATATGTCTCTTTGGGATTGTAAACCAAAATGTGATAATACTAAATTAGAATGTCTTGAAAAGGCACACAAAATTGTTTAAGGAGTAGTGTATGAGGCAGTTTACAGATTAATTACAAAATTAAGCAATTCTCATCGTGGATACAAATTCTTTTATACTATTTAATGATTCCGCCACGGTTGTTTATGAAAAATGAAGTTAATCGAATCCAGATGCACTTTTTGAAAAAAGGATCAAATATGAACCAACAGATGATACTAATTTTAGCGAAGGGATTAAGAAATCTGTCGAAATAATCGATACTTATTCCAACCTTTCCAAGTAAGTTAAGAACTAATAAATATAATTTCATATTATATTATTATTTATCATTAATACAATTTTTTTTCTAGAACAAATGTAGAAATCCTACTTCAGGAATTGAATTGCGAACTCTTTGTCAGAAAGAAATGGATTCAGAGTACTATAATTATTTTAATTTTATATCTTATTTGCTTTATTTATATGATTATATTGCATTTTTAGTTCACATTTATATCTTTACGTAATTTGATTTTGAACAAAATAACGTTTACTAATGATCATTACGAAAAATGGCAGATATTGCCAAAAAAATTTCCGAAATCACCAGATGTCAATGCGCAATATTAACTTGTTGATCAGATAATCTTCGAAGTCATAAACCAACGTTAATATGAAATGAGAGTTCAAATATTTAGTTTCAATATATTAGAAAATCTTTTGTTGTATATATTAAATATTAAATATAAAATAAGATATGCTAGGAAACGGAAACCGTTGTCGATATTAATTAATTAAAAAAATAAAGCATATGTCATCAGATTTTTTTTTTATCTTTATTATTTGTCATGTGTTCTTTATCTTATAATCGTTATCATAAAATCGGACAGACACCTATCCGAAGTTACATTTTTGATATTTTTTATTCATTTTATTGACATATGCATCAAGACCAGAACTTTAAAGCATCAAAAACGTAACTTTGGTATCACTTTATCCTACGCTACGCTCCGGGACAATTATTTTTTAAAAGGATTTGTGAATGTAAATTCCCTTTTTTGGCACTCATTATTCAATAAATTGTCATATCATCTGCATAAAAGAAACAGATTCCGCCCAATAATCGTATGCCATAATTAAAGGTCATAAGTATTATATATTGAAGCTGCAATAATATTTTCGAATTTATCAATTATCATATCTTCGTTTTGATATTCAAAGTCTTCAACTTCATTGATTTCATTAATTTCATTCTCACTTATGATCAGTTTTATTTATCATTCTGAAGTTTGAATATTTTCAGGATCATTGTAAATAAAATATAATGATAAATATAAATAATAAATTGTATAAATGATAAATATAAATGACAAAAAATAAAAAATAAATAATATAAAAATATATAAATTTTTTAGAAAAGAAAAAAAGAAAGAAATAAGTATTTGATAATAAAATGCATATACACATACATTTCTCATATTCTCAATATATTCTCAATAGAACAAAGGATATAAATTTACAAAAATGATATACATATTTAACATATCGTATTATTACGTATTATATATTATCAATTGTGACAATCAAATGTGAAAGATTTTATTTGTCAACAATAGAGAGGCAGTTATTTTTACTAATTGGGACACTTAATTGCATCATTTTAATGTAAACCATAAATGTCGGAACGAAAATTTCCCGCACTTTAAATACTTTCCATTTTTTACTCACCTCTCCTGTATCAACTTTTATTATTTTCCAATAGCGAAAAAAAGTTTTGTGATTACAATAACTAATAATATTTTGCATGATCGCATAATTTATTAACAAAATAATTGAACAATAATTTATAACAATAAAATTTATTAATATATGTGAAATGGAATCACTCAAAGATCATATTCGCACCATGGAATTTGAACCTTATAAACCCAAATGTGTCGAACTTATTAAACATATTGACTGGGATGATTATGATAAAGAGCGACATGATCCACTTAAAGATTTAAACGAAAACGATGAATTAGAATTCGTCATTGATGAAGCAGCATCTAACCATGCAAATGGAATTGTAAAGAGCGAAAATGATCTTGAATTTGATATTAAATTCGATTTTTCCGAGGTATTAATTATTAATTTTTATTTTAATTTATTATTAATTATTTATTATAAATTATTCAATTTTATTATTTAATTTTATCTAATTATTATTATAATATTAAATATATTTATAAATCAATTATTAATTTTAGAATTTTGACATTGATTTTCAAGTTTTTAATGATATTTTAGCAATATTTGGTCATAAAAAATCATCTTCAAGTAAACCTATAACTAAAAAAGGTAAAAAAGTTGAAAATTCATTAGTGCCTGCACAAAAAATAATCCTTACTTCTAATAGAGGATCCAATTATCAATCATTCTGTCGAACAATCTTATTTCCCAACAATGCTGACCTTCAAAATATTTATACCGAGATAATTGATGGAATTTTACACATCAAAATACCAAAGATTGAAAATTTATCTGATTTATTGCTGGTAATTAATTTAATTTAATTTTTATTATTATTATTATAAATATTATTTATGATTAATCATGAATATTATAATTTTATATTCTTTTGAAGCAAAATGATATTTGCACAATTTGTAAATTACGAAAATGTCTTATTGATTATTTTTCTGAATTTTCAAATTCCTAAAGAATTATTTATTTTAATTATTAAAAATTTCAATTTGTAAAAAATTCAATTTTATTTCGTAAAGAAATATATTGTAAAATGTTTTTTTATGTGACCACACGACCTTAAATTATTATTAAATTTAAGTTACTTTATTTTTACATTATTATATATTAGTAGATATTAACATATATCAGCATTTATAAATGTATGTTCATTTATTATTCATGTAAAAATATCCTTATATATATATATATATATCCCTAAATATACATACTTAAATATATTTCCTATTCCATTAAATATATTAAATGTGATAAATTCTATGAAATGTATTAAATGTATTTATAGAGTATAAATAAAATACATATTTGAATCCTGATGAAATAAAAGTTTATTAAAGAAATAAGAAATAATACAACAAAAACCAGACGAAATCCTGCTTTGTGACGAGAACAAACTTAACTTTTCATATTCACCTTGTTATAATCTTTACGCTTTTTGGTTTATTCTCTAAAAACTCTTGATTTCAAATTTAAATAATAGACAATAAATTTATCTCGATTCTCTATTATTCATTATATTTTATTATGAATTTTCTTTAATTCTCTCTAACTTCACAGCTCAATAAAGTCAATTCTTAGGAAGAAAAGCATCTTTTATCTTTGAACTAGCTATATTATATTCAAATAAAAAATAATAGAAATAAACCCTTGGAAAGTGTTCTCATCGCGACTAATGAAAAGGTTTTATTCTTTCTCATGAGCTTGCTAATAAACGAATTGCGAAATTAGTTGTGTAATTTTTTGAATCAAAAAAAGTATTTATAAAGATACTTTGGTGATCTATATTTAATATGAAAACTTAATTTACCCAGGGAAGTTTTTTGTGATTATAAAAAATAGTTATACAAAATGTAAATAAATTGTTAAAATACAGAAGATAATTAAAATTTTTTTTTTATTTACTTGTATCTTTATTTATTTTTATATAGTTCAAACGAAGTTCTGAATCCGAACTTTAAAATAATGAAATAAAATAATATATATAATAATAATGCAAAATATGTAAAAGATGCATGAACAACTTAAAATCTTGGCGATACGCAGAAAATTTAAAGAACAAAAAAAATTACAACCTAAAAAAAAAGAAACAATAAACTATTTCCAATTACTTTCAACCATCTTGATTTTATAAGAATAAAAGACTTTTCAAAACAGATTGATCCAATATTATTTGTGAAACTGGAATGTCGTTCATTCCTTGTGAACCAGACAACCCTGTTATATTCCAGTGGAAAATTTCTTCTAAATTCAGATCTTTCTTCTCCATTATCACATGAATCTAAAAATTTAACATATATTTCTTGTGGTATTATATCTCTATTCCAAAAAGTTACTTAAAGGAATATGTAGGATGTTTCATTTCAAACCAAAGATAACATTAACATGTCTAAAAAAATAATTAAGTAAATAAAAATAATAAAATTTATCAAAAAATAAATAAATATTGCTACAATACTGGTTTGGCAAATTAAATGACATATCTTCAACTTGTAAAAAAGTTGTTTAATAGAACCAGAGGCATGTCCATGAGAAGAAGATGAAAAATGGGCACCCAAAATGAAACAACAACTGAGAAATCCTTCCAATCCTTATTTCTCCTCAAATTCAACAACATTATTTTTGTTTTCTATGCAGTTGTCAAACTTGGCATAATGGAGGAGTGAAAAAGAAATTGGTAGAGACATGTGAGGGTAATATATTTCTAAGAAAATTATTATTCTATTTAAAAATAATTCGCGATTCGTGAGAGACGGAAAGGATTTACACAATAAATTTTGGGACAAAAGAAAAAAGTTTTGTTTATTAAAAAAAGGAAACTTTATCTTATTTTATTAATGTAACCATTTAAAAATATACAATCAGAACCTTTGATTTTTTTATAATTGATAAAATGGTTTTTGTAATTTTCACATTCCGGCTTGAGATTATCGCATATATAACTTATCCTCGCATTTTATTAATGTAAGTCTTTCCGAATCACGAATTAAATATATTAATATAAATTGAGACAAAATTATTATATATTATTTATACTCACTTTTTTTAATCATTTAACATTTAATTTCTCTTCAATCTTCTTTTTTCATTTACTTCTACAGCAACAAATAAATTACAATGACCTGGATCAAGTCCAACAAGCAACTTTCTTACCAGATCTGTATAATCAACTTCTTCATGCATCTTAATTCTTTTGTGCAAAGAGATACTTACACCATTAATCTCTATGTATAATCTAAATTGATTACCATATTATTTGTTTTAAAAACTTTATCCAGAATTTGTGCGCATGTTGTTTGTCAACACCAGATACTATTTGAGATTAGGTCGAGACTGTAAAGAAAATTGGTATAGATAGGTACATATCTTGTTCCAAAAGAGTGCCGGAAACTTGCATAATTTTTATCTCATTATAAATAATTTCAAACTAATTCTATTTACAATTTTTGTAAATTTCAAAAAAAAACTTACTTGATGTGCCTCTATTAGGGATCAAATTTTCATCTTTTGTTGATTCTACAATTATCATACATTTTATAATTACAATTTTTATACATTTATCAATGTTATTAATTCTAAAACTTACTCACTTTATTGTATTCAAAGTGTATTATTCGCCTATTCGATACATTATAATAGTCACATGAGGAATCTCGAACTCGGATTATTTATCATCCTCTATAAAACAAAATCAGTTCAGTTCTGGTTATAGTTCAGTTCTGGTTATGATAATCTGGAGATTTAAATTATTATATTAAGTAAAAATGTGTGATTAAATAAATGCAAATTTGTCATTCGGAATTTTATTATGAATTGTTGTGTGGGTAGAACGTCATAGAAACGTGAGAGATGTTGTTTGAATGTTTGAATGCTACTTTAATTATGTTAAAGATACATGCCGCCGGAATTATGTATTATGCCATAATTATACATTAATTCAGATTAATTTCACGCAATATAGAGAGATTTTTTTAATAAGTTTCTAAAATTAATACTTATAAATGATTTTTTTTACTGTAGCAACAATAAATTAATTTTACCGCCGATCGCGTTTACACAACGGATACGTATCGATTTTCATATTTTAAGCTTTAAAATTGTTGACTTAGTAAGTCCAAAGTTAATATATTAAAACAACTTACAGATTATGATAATTACAATAATTACAGGAATTACGGCGTATCGTTCTAATTTTATTTGAGTGGCGTTACTGCGTTTTAGATTACAATAAGATTTCCATTTTTGTTTTGTAATCTTTACGATAAAAATATATTCCCAAAATTGTTATTTTATGCAAGGACAAAACCGGAACAAACTATTTTTAGGGTGTTCATTTATGGACATATGAAATGTACAAAGGACCTTTAATATCCATGAGTCGGATACTCGGAAGCGTAGAAAACATTTATAACAGTTTAACCATTTTTTCCAATTAACTTTTGATTTTGTTTAGCAATGAGCAACTTTGGTTTTGACAAGGAATCTTTTAAGTGTATGCAAAAATTAAAATAAGTTATCTTGATTTTTATTCTTCGGAACTTCTAATGTTTTTTAACAATAGCTCCTCAAGATCTCGTTTCCAATTCTAGTAATATAGAAAATAATGGATTTCATAAAAACTTGGAAGGTAACTCAGTCAATTTTTATAGTTTTTTTTTACAAATTATTTTCCTCTCAAATTTAAAATTAAAGCATTTGAGCAAAACTTGGAAAACGATAAAATAGAAACAGATTAAGAGTTTTGCGAAGCACAGGCAAAAAATGGTGCCCAAGATTTATGTGAATCCATCCCAGTGCTTTATCGCTTGTTGGATTTGTGTAAAGATGATGGTTCAGATGGTCTTGGTACGTAAATTTCATACTTCATTTTCTTGCGATAATTTTTCTAATATAATTTTGATAAAATTTCTACTCTTCGCAGTGGACAAAATTATAATTTCACAATCAAATGTGAAGAAGCTTTGTAATGATATGATTCCTGAAAGCTTTAAATCAATTTCCAAAATTAATTATGAAAAGTTAAACTCTTGCCAAATTCATTTAATTGGAATCTATGGAAGAAATTCTCTCATTGCTAAACTTTTATTGGATAAAGGAATGATAGATGAAAAAACGTAGTTATTTAATTCATATTATAAAATATAAAGATATCTTTTTTTTTAATATATTATTATTATTTTGTTAAAGCTACAAATTACTCTTAATGCCTTATGATATCGAGTCACTGGATAATAGCTCTGGAATTCGTCCAACAATAGAATTAAGACCAGGAATATATCTTTTAAGGTTACCTCCGGATGAAATTGATAAAAAGAATAAATTTATGGTTATTCATTGGAGCGAAGATGGATGTTATGAAAATAAAGCCTCATCTTATTGTAAAAAGAACATGACTAATTTACATAGGTAAATCTTTTTTCGAGAATCTAAAAAATATAATATTTCAATGTTAAATATATAAATACTTTAATAGATATCTTACAAAAATCACGGAGCACCAAATCTGTTTAATGAATGATCATGACTTGGAATATATTGATTGGAAATGTTATGAAACTAAAAAATCTAAAGATCCTAAAGTTATTGGCATTGATTTTAACGTGAAAAAAAGTGAAGAACAAAAGGAAAACTTTGAAATTTTTCCAGGATTTGAGGTTTGCCTATGGAAGCCATAAATTTATAAAAAATAATTTTAACAATTAATAAATTTTAATAATTTGTCATTCTTTAAATACAAAGATTCCTTTCTCAGAACATATATCACAACCTCAGCGCACGGATGATCAATATGCGAACACTCCTTTGCATCCATTGATTGTTGAATCTGTTTCCAATCCAACTTTGCTTACAAGAAAAATCATCCCTGAGAATAATTATAATGAAGATTTTAATAAATATTATGACAAGAAACAATTACGTGATTATTTTCAACCAATACTTGAAAGTCAACAATATGCTCTGAAAATTGGCCGAAATTTAACAATAAAAAAATTGAAAATTATTGTTAAGCGTGTATTAGTTTCTTCGGATTTGGATTTTTTAGATCTTTTTAAAAACAGTAAAAAAAATAAATCTACTAAAATTGAAAAATTAGCTAATAAACTTTTGTGTGAAAATTATGGGTATGTTATTAGTTTTTTGTTCTATGTAGATCTTTCATTAAATTAATCTAATAAATTATAATAGACACTTTGAGACCGAAGAAAAATCAACTTCTATAATTGGTACGATTTTTATATTATATCAAGTTTTAAAAATAAAATTTTCATCATTAAAATTTAAATATTTTTTCAATATTTTATTTTCTATAGATTTAAATGTTGAAGATATTTCTATCAAATGTGAGTTGTCTTAATTTATTTATAAAATATAAAAATATATTAAATATTTTATTGTCCTTTATTTATTTTTATATTAGCTGTTAAAATTCGTGAAAAACTTCAAGCGATAGTTAACGAAATTGATTATCCTGAATGTGACTGGAAAGAATCTAAAAAACGATATATATTTGCCAAAAATTATGTCAAACTTCATATGAATCTACCTTCATTAACTTCATTAAGGATGCGCTTTGAAGAAGTTAAAAAAATATATTTCAATCAACTAAGTACCTTATACTTTTTAGTAAAGAGTTATACTGGAAAAAAAGATGAAGAAGTTGATGATTTAATTACTAAATTAGAAAATGATGCAAATAAAATTTCTGACAAAGAATTTGTTCAAAATATTTCTAGCAAATATTGCAAAGAAATTTTTGATGATTTTTTTGAAAAGTATAAAAAATGGAAAACAGATATTTTCCCTTCTAAACTGGTGCAAATTCTTTGTGAACATATAGAGGAATTATATCCTACCGGTAAACTATTACAAATCATTAATATAGGTAAATATTATGTTATGCATATTTATAGTATTATTTTTTAAAAATTATTTTTCTAAAATAAAATAATTTGATAACTTTCGTAAAAAAAATAGAAAAAAAATTTTTTTTCTTAGAAAAAAATTACAAGTTTAAAGTGAAATTTAAGATTGAAAGGTATTATCCTACTAAATTATTAATCAGCTTACATGAGTTCCAATTAGATCAATCTGATAAGCTTGAAATAGAAAAAGATGAAAATTTCATTCCCAAACCTATTTTACGTAACAGCGGTTCATTTGAATTTAGCCTTGAAATTCATGACTTCAAGTATGAAAATTTTTTTCATGTTTTATTATAGTACTATCAGAATTAATATTTCAACGTTTTGCTTTTTTTTTTTACAGACAAATTTCTCGATTTAATAAAAAATTTCTAGTCTTTCTGTGGAATAAAATTAATAACAAATTAGATATTTATTTTGGTGGTATTCAAAGCATTTCAACAGCATTAACTACGAATAGTCCTTTAAAGAAACTAAATTTAGAACTTAATGATGAACATTTTATGGTGACAGTTAATGAACCTAAAGGATTAATTGCAATTTATGATACTGTCAATGGAGTAAGTTTTAATCTAAAATAATTTAAAAAATGATAATAATCAGCAACATAAATAATTAATCTTCTTTTTAAAATTTTAGTTAAATGCCTATAGCTTTAATCAGGAACAAACGACAATACACCTTCAATATGCAAATATACGTTTGCAACAATGGTACAATAATAATATGCCAGAAATTGCTCATTTCTTTTTCATCAAAAATACAGATGATATATGTTTCGTAGAAAGAAATGGTCAAGCACGAATCTATAATTTAGACAATGCTTGTTTTCGGCCTGGAAAAGCACATCTTCCAATTAATACAAATCATATCCTTAGTATACCAGATGGAACTTGTTTTATTGCATTCACGAAAGAAAGTCTTGAAACAGCAACCGATGCCACTAATAAAATTAACGTGAACCTTATTAAAGCGCATGTTTATTTTTATGAAAAATTCACAGAAAATGCAATTAAAGTTATCGACATTCCTTTTACAAATTCACATATTGACATTTTTCATTTTTCATTATTTGACAACCAGCAAATTTATTTAACAACAATTGATCAACAAAATGTTAAATTTCAATCCGTTTTAGTAAAAATAACTCATACAAAAACAAAATATCGCTTTGAACGACAAACCCAGAAATCTTTGGGTCAAGTGAAATTTGAAGATGCACATCCCCTTTTAGTTTTTGGCGAAAATACAAAATTCACACAGTA